CATATCCTGTGGTCCGGTGAGACCAAGATGAACTTACTTGGTGTCAAGCATGTGTGGCAGCAACCAGTTGAGAAGTACAAAGACAAGTATGTCGTGCCTACAGTCAAGCGTGGTGGGAGTGTCTTGGTCTGGGGCTGCATGAGTGCTGCTGGCACTGGGGAGCTACAGTTAATTGAGGAAAGCACAAATGCCAAAATGTACTGTGACAAACTGAAGGAGAGCATTATTCCGTCTCTTTGGAGACTGGGATGCAGGGCAGTATTCCAACATAGCGACCCCAAACATACCTCCAAAACAACCACTGCCTTGCTAAAGAAGCTGAGGGTAAAGGTGATGGGCTGTCCAAGCATGTCTCCAGACCTAAACCCTATTGAGCATCTCTGGGGCATCCTGAAATGGAATGTAGAGGTGCTCAAGATCTCTAACATCCACCAGCCCTGTGATGTCGTCATGGAGGAGTGGAAGAGGACTCCAGTGGCAACCTGTGAAGCTCTGGTGAGCTCTGTGCCCAAGAGGGTTAAGGCAGTGCTGGAAAATAATGGTGGACACACAAAATATTGACACTTTGTGCCCAATTTGGACATTGTTATTTAGGGGTGTACTCACTTTTGTTGCCAGCTCCTTAGACATTAATGACTGTGTGTTGTGTTAATTTGAGGAGACAGCACATTTACACTGTTATGCAAGTTGTATACTCGCTGCTTTATATTGTAGCCAAGTGCCATTTCTTCAGTGTTGTCACATGAAAAGATATACTAAAATATTTATGAAATGTGAGGGGGTGTACTCACTTCTGTGATATACTGTAGCTTCCTCTTGCATCCAGACCCTTAAAACTACAATTTATGGTTTTCAGATGAGTCAGAATTTTTGAAGCAGTAAAAGCAGTTGCTCTTGAGCAGGCCCAAGCATACCTGAAAGCGAAGCTAGTCAATTCTCACCCAAGGGTTTGGGTTGTTGTTGGAGGCAGATGCAAAGTCCAGAATCCAGTCGTGTTATTTCACTGATGGAGCTACTTCTGTGAGCAAGGAGAATATGCTTTCCTTCCCACTTGCATCCCTCTGCCCTCCCAGAAATGGCTCTAGGGGGCTGAGAAACTACTTGAGCCATTTTTGGGTAGTATATGGAACTTCATAGGAGAGGGAAGGGGAAGAAAATCCCATGGCATGCTCTCTTTAAGTATTTGCTATCATGACTTCTGATGGAGGCTGAAGGTTGATAGCTGTATATTATGTGAGCCACATGGCATATTTAATGTTTTCTCAGACATTGGAGGAGATGGATGTAAAATTTGAGTATGCAGTTTGAATAGGTTTTATTCACATAAAAATTTATAAAATGTAGACCCATATTGTGCTATCAATTTGCGGATTATATCTGGATGTTTGATACTAAAGTCTGTATGGTTTTTGAAGTTGTAATTTGGTCCACTGAATATGCAACAGTATCATACTTGCCAAGGCTCCTTTCCCTCCTGGAAAATTAAAATTGAAAGAGCGGAGTATTTTTATTGGCATATATAGTCATTTTTCAGCTCTGCATTTACACCATAATCCTTATGTTTTTCATCTTCCAGGAGATGCTTATTATATCGACACATTTGCGTCATAGAAAAATATTTTATTAGGAGAAATAGGGGAAGGAATATATAGTACAAAATGCGGTTATCAGTGATAAATGAGGAACATCTAAGCATATATTTTTTCCTCTCGTGGCTCTTTCTACTGATGTGTTTTTTTCTTAACAATTGAAGGACCCCAAGTTACTCTCCATGGCCTACTCAGCTGTTGGAAAGCTTTCCAGGTAACAGAAACACATTTAATCTCTTGAGATAATCAGTTAACTTTCCAAAGCAAGTTTTACTTGTTAGTAGGCAAGTTAGTTAATGGAGCACACCACATGGAGTTTGTAATGAAATGAGTACTGTCGTTTGACAACTCTGGAACTATTAAATCAGAAGAGGGGGGTATTGGAATATAATCCATTTAAAAAGGAGGTATCAAGTTGAAATGATTTGTTCTCTTTATAATTTAAAAATTTATTAGGATTATTGTATTTAGCCAATTTTGATTGAATTGTCCTTAAAAAGTGGCTTATAAAATCTTTACATAACTAAAACATAAATCTGACTAGTAATAGCAGGCTAAGTTATAGACAGTTAGAAAAATCACTGCTATAATGTGTGAATAATTTCAAGAGTCTAAACCTTGGTTCTTAACCTTGGGTTACTCAGGTGTTTTTGAACTGCAACTCCCAGAAACCCCAGCCAGCACAGCTTGTGGTGAAGGCTTCTGGGAGTTGCAGTCCAAAAACACCTAAGTAACCCAAGGTTAAGAACCACTGCTCTAAACCACTTTACAAGTGCCATTTGTTGTTAATGTTAATCCTAGTATTTTCTGGAGAGATTATCTGCGGGATATATATTTCACTTTCCTCTCTGAAGTTGTTCTTTTAACACATTGAGTTTCCTCATTTCAGCCGGATACCTCAGCTGTTCACCAAGGACTTGGCACTGGTTCAGCAGTTTTTTGAAGCTCTTTCTAAGGTTGGTGATTGCTATTTATTTATTTATTTGGCCATGGAAGTGATTGGTCTAGGTGCTCATTGTCTCCTGGTTTCATACTAGATACTAATGGATATGTCTTATTTCAGGAAGACCCTGATACCAGACTTGCTATTCAGGAGGCATTGTCTATGATGGTTGGAGCCTACACGAGTTTAGAAGGTGCACCGCGAACTCTTATGGAAGCACTTGTGGCCTCTAACCTAATTAAGGTACATTAAAAAAGACTGATTATCTTTTCATGTTAATGCTTTCCATATGGAAAGACATAGGTAGTATTCTTCCTAATAATGACTGTTGTGTTGGGTTCTGTTTTATTTCTGTATACAGTATTTGCTTTTTGATTGCATAAAGGAAAAACACAGAGTGTTATCCAACAGGATGCCAGAATGATCTGATTTGCAGATAATCTCATACTGGAAATTTAAAAATAGTGTCTGAGACTACAGGCCTTTGTAGTGGCTAAGGGAATTTGGTTACTCAGATTGCCTTTAGCTGCCATTGGCTAAAATCCAGTTGTAAAACATAACTAGAATAGGCCTATTGAATCAGTGGAACTAATGGAAGAGTTGACTTGCCAAATCCCTACTGATTCAATAGGCTTACTCCAGTTGTGTTTTACAACAGGATTTTAGCCAATGGATGGTTCTATAAGGATAGAAGTTTAGCAGCTTTGAAAATCTTGGGAAAGGAAGTATAAAACAAGTTGAGGTTACCTATGAGAGGAAATTAATTAATATGAAGTGATAGGAGTATGAATAGAAAAGGAAAGGAGATCAGAACATGGGGGAAGGTTGCTGGTGGCTAAAGCTGTCCAGGTGAAGAAGGTAGGGTTTGCATATTAGATAGACAAGAGCTTTCTTTCCAAGTTGCATTTTGAAAATGTATCTTTTGATGGTAGACATTGGATGTTCTACTTGTGCTACTCATTTTGGTCTGTCACCTCTGTACTGTACTGGTTGAAATGATACTGTCTTGGTTGTTCAACTGTTAAGTTTTTACTCCGTAAAAGGAGGAAAGGAGCTGAAAACATGGCAGTTTTTTGTTTCTTCACATATCAATAATATGGACTCTTCTGAATTTTGAAATGACTTTGTTCTATGAGCTTTACTTTAAATTTTGTGGTCAGTCTTCTAGTTAGCTTCCACTGTGAATGAAGTCCTGCCAGTAATATGAGGTTTTGTTGTCTGAGGAAGTGTTGTGAAAGCAGAAGGCAGGTATTCTTGCTGGAGGTTACTGCTTGTGCAGTGGCAGCTAGAGATGGAAGCTTACTGCAGATCAGCAAGTCAGTATGGTTCAGCCAACTGGGCCCACAGGTCTTGTGTGGGTATCTGGGATTCCTTGCTCTGCCTCCTCCAGTAGCTGCCCAATGAGAGGAGGAGGTGGGGTGTGGAATCTAGGGCATGCATGCAACATCGGTGGGCCCAATTAGTTGAACTCTACCAAACTGCTGAATTGTGGTAAGTGCCTATCTCTAATGACAACACTTCTGGAGGCAGCACAATTTCATGTTACTGTTGTGGTGGAATTTTCCTCTCATTGGAGGCTCAGTATAATTTTATTTAGTATTATTTTCCATAAATTACTTTCTGTCAGCTGGCTGGTAGAGTCTGTGTTTTAAAACTAGCTTTGAGTGTCTCCTAAATGCTTCTTTTCTCTTTTATTTTTTAAGCCTCAAGTCCAAGTACGTCAGGTGGCTGTAAAGTTTGCAAGCACAGTGTTCCCTTCAGATCACATTCCTTCAAGATACCTACTGCTTTTAGCTGCAGGAGATCCGTAAGTCCGATACGATGGAGAGGATGAGATATAACGGATAGGAACAGGAATAGCTATATACAACTGCATTTGATGGTGACGTAGGGTCGTTATTCAAGAGCTTGTAGTTGCCATGGTTTCAGTCAGTTTATCTTGCATTGCCCTTCACTGTCCTTTGTCATGAGCTTCACATCTACTCAGAAGTTATGACTACCAGTAGCTAACAGACAGCTTTAAGAATCCATCTAATCACTTAAAAAACTTTCAGAGATTAATTCCATGGCTTAATTGTGCCTTATCTAAAGAGGACTGTCCTGAATTTTTTGCCCATCATTTTCATTCAGTGACCCTGAGTTCTATAGTTATGAGAAAGCATTCACCATATTTTTTTTGCCATTGCACCAATTCCCATGTAGTGTTAAAGCCACATGGCATATGGAATGTGCCCATACAAAGCACTGGGGTCCAGAATGCCTCTTCCTCTCCCCTCTTTATGTTTGGGATAAGATACTATAAATTAGAATTTAGACTTTGTTTTTTTAATAAGTGATCACTTTGTTGGTACAAACACTCCAGGACTTGCTGTTTAAAAGAAACACTGGACAATTTGTATGCAAATTAACCCCAAATCATACAGTATTTTCATGATTTGTTTATGAACTAGCATTTCTTTTAAACCACAGGTTTTATTCACACATAATGCTAAGCCTACAATCTGATGAAATGAAAGTAAATTTGAATTTGTTGGTTATGTGAGAGTTCTGTATATATGTGTGCAAACCATTTTTCTTTCTTCTCTTTTTTGAAGGCGGGAGGAGGTACATGGAGAAGCACAGCGTGCACTGAGAACATTTCCGGGTAAAAATGAAAAAGAAAGTGCTGGTAAACAGATGCCTTCCTTCCCAGAGATGGTCCAGTATATTCAGGAGAAGGTACAGAATCTGACTTAAATATCACTGATTATAATGGCAGTGTCTATGTGGAGTTTGATCATAAATCACATGATCTGAAGGCGCAACATCTCAAATTCAAGTCTTGCTCTATATGCTGCATCGATAGGAAGAAGTTTTGTCAAATAATATATGAACTCTGAGTGGTTTGAAGGAGAGTTGGTTATAAGAATAAATTTGAGGCACAAACTTACAACAAAACTGATAAAATTCAGTAGGTTTTTTTTTCCAGTGAAGTGTGCTCTATAGTAAGTACAGATATCTTGGGAAGAACAACATTTTGATGGGATTGTTAGGGGACAAAAACAAATCAAGCTGGAGTTGCTGAGGTCATATTTGTATCTGGCTGTAGAGCCAGCGGTTCAGTTCAATTCCCTACTGTGCCTCCTTGACAAGGGTTGGACTTGGTGATCCATAGGGTCCCTTCCAGATTAGGATAAAGATACTTTATTTAAAAAATGAGGAAAACCAGATCTATGTAGATCTAGATATAGAGTAGGGATTAGCACTGTCTATTACAAGTGCCCCCCACACACATACTTTGCCAGCTTCTGAGCTGAAGAGTTGGTAATAAAGACACGTCACCTTCAATTCAAAGTTTGGGACTGAGATTAGTTTCCATAGTAACCCCAAAGGAAAGGAAATAATACATTTGATTTTAACAATTTTTATCTGATTTAATTCATGTAAGACTTTTTAGGGACAACATTTTTAGATGAAAATACGCAAAATGCTTCTTGTAATCATTAAGAAGGTAGAGTTGTGAGCATTATAAAAAGGGCAAGTGAGCATGAGAGACAAGAGTAATGTATTCCATCCTCTTTGACTCATTTGGTATGTGATTGTGAATAGTAGATGTACTTGGCATTAAAATAAATGCTTAAGAAGAGGCCTATGGGCAGTTTGTTTTAGTGAGATGTGAAGTGTATTGCGCACAGTTCCATGGTTAGTTAGTATAAGACTAATATTTTCTGATTTCATGAGACGACTTTGAGGATGATCAGAGTTTCTAGCAACTTTAGAAATGGCAGCCACATGATTCTGCTTCCCATCACTGCAAGTCTTGGGTAGTGCTAAGCAATAGTTTCTAATCACACTGGAGATATGATATATTTGTGGAATTGGATTGTTGAGCCACTTGGTATCTGAATCTCTGACATATGTTTTTGTTTACCTTAGGCCTCTCACAGAATGAAAACTCCTGCTAAGTATATGACTGGGACTACAGTCATGCCTTTTAACCCAGCTACTTTTGGAGAGGTATGTGTATTAGCCAGTGTGGTGTAATGGATAGAATGATTTACTAGGACACAGTAGACTTGGGTTCAAAACCCTGCTTGGCTGTGGAAAACTCACAGGAGATGACAATGGTAAAACTAATATCTCGCATAGCTTGAAAGCTCATCATCTGATACGACTTGACAGCACATAACACACTTGTATTAATACTACGTCAAAGAAAGTCATACTTGACTAGTTTTAGTCATATTAGTCTGTGCTAGCATATCAGGCCAATACAAAACAAAAATAAAAAATAAAGAAGACAAAAACATGGTGGTACCTTAAAGACTAACTGCTAAGATTTTAGATTGTGCAGAAATGGATAGATTCACACTGAGACTGAGAAAGAAGATTCAGAATACTTTACTACATGGAATTTGTTCTACAAATGACTAGAAAATCAGAGAAGGGATTAAATCACCAAGACACGAAAATAGATAATTATAAGTAAACCCATGTAACACGATGTTTAACAAGCACGAACTGAATGTAGATATAGTGAAAAACTAATAAAATGTATATTTAAAAAAAAAGACTAACTGCTATATTTTAAGAGGAACTTTCGTAGACAAGTCCACTTCCTCAGACTTGTTCATGAAAGCTTACATTAAAACATAGCCGTTAGTCTTTAAGATGCCACAATGTTTTTGTGTTCTTAATTTTTTTATTTATTGTTTTGTTTTGGCCTAGTATACTTGACTTGATCATCCTAATGTGAAAACTTCATGATATAATAAAATACTGTGTTCGTTGAAGCAACCAGAAGTATTAGAGGGCATGGGAATGTTGCTTTAGTTTTGGCAAATTGTAAAAAAAGCTTCCACTATTATAAAGTTCAAAATTCTATCACTTATAAAAACTAGTTTGCTTCCTGGAAATATAAATTTCCAGACTTACCGGCAGAAAATTTCTATCTTGGCCCCCTTTTATCCAATATTTCTGCCAAAATTGTTGAAAACTACCCATGTATTTCATTCAGCTTTGTCAAGGGTGTATTTCATTGGTTTAGTAATGTTCTATGCAGAAGTTAAAAGGTTTTTATGGCCCATCATTTCTAGTCCCAGCTATTCTATTATGCCCATCTAGAATTTGGCTTGAAAACCAGAAATGTGAGTATTTGTGAGTAAGTTGTAAGCAAGCACACTTTGTAACACTGAGCTTTGTTCCTGATCACAAGAGATGTCTGTTAAATGTTATCGTTAGCTACCAGTTTCTTTCCCTTCACGGATTGCTGCCTTATCGTGGTGAAGGGGCTTGAGTAATTCAGAGAAGCTATGGGCTATGC